AATTGCTGATAGAAACCGATATGATGTGATTCATTAACTGTAGCTGGATTCAAAAAAATTCTTTATACAAATCTGGGCTAAGACAAGTCAGCCCCAAAGCCTTGCAGGCATGTACCAAAATAAAAAAAAGCACACAGAGAGTGTGTGGGGGAGGAGAGTAGGACTGAACTCTACATCTCTCTAGCAAACTTCAGGCTCAAGCCAGGCAACCAGTGATGCGAACATCCAGCTTTTATTCATCTGTGATGAATTTGGCTACAAGCTGATGCAATGAACATTCTGGGAACCCGAAACGTGTGGGCTAGAGGAGGAAGCATGGAGTTGCTTTGACATGCATATTCTCAGCCTCTCTTGCTTGTTGTTTGCCTTGTTGCTGTGTGTTCTGGCACTGGGATTCATACCTGACTCCAGCTAACACTCCCCTCTCCAGTGAGCTGTGTTTTGGAGGTAACGTGTAGGCGTGTGATGAAACTTTGTGGGCAGGGGTGAGTTGCATATAAATAAATGACAGCTTATCTACACACACACAGACTGAAACAATAATTTTGCCTTACTTATTTCAGTGTGAGGCTGGGCACTATGGTAAAAAAAAATAAAAAAAATCAGTGCATATTACTGCTGACTGTGTGGTATTGGTTACTGGGTACGTGCTGACTTACCCAGGTTCACCTCCAGCCCAGCAGCAGAAAATCATAGAATCACAGAATAATGACCATCTAAGGATGAGAAAGTTGGAACAGACTTGTCAAAAGAGTTCTTTGTAATTATTTTTTGCATTGTTACTGAGGTAGCAGATTTTCTACTGGGGTTGGGGTTACAGAAGAGAATAAACATAAATTAAAGGAAGAAATGGCACCTAAGCCCCATAATTTTATAACACAAAGATAAACTATGCGTGAGCTTATCAGTTTGTGTTCTGAAATTCTCACCTATTTGCTAGAGAGAACAATCTTACTTTGCAAAGCATTTGATTAAAATAGACTCTCCACTGTAAAGATTTGCTTCCCCTTGTAATCCACCCACTTTGCTAGATGGAATTATAAAATAATCAGATCCTCAGTTGTACTGTTGGTACAGCAGCAGAGGCAGCACAGTACAGAGAGAGTCTTCAGGGTTGTTGTTTTATTCACTATTATACAACAGCACCTAGAAATTCCAGCCAGATTCAGAACTGAGTTTTGTAAATGCTATGAGGATATTCTGTGACCTGAATTGTGAGCAGCATATTAGACCAAAAAAAGTGTAGGGAAAAAAAAGTTGAAATAAAAAAAAGGTTTTAAAAGTTGAAAGTTAGAAGTAAATTGAGAGATGAAAGAGGATAGACTCCACTATCACAGCTTGAATTCCAAGAAGTTACATGACAGGTTTAAAAAAGAGTAAAAACACTTAAATGCAACTTTGGCGTTTCAGTTCTGTCTCATTTCAAAATTGTGGCACTACAGGATCCTGGTTGGTGGCATTGGAGGAACCAGAACTCCACAAGCATTTCAGCTTGTGACAATTAAGTTTCTCAGGTACACCCAGTTCTGCTCCTGTCCATACTAGATGTTTGACCAAAGATGAACAGACTCACAGACTCAGAAAGAATTAGAGGGGAGGGGACCTATAGAGGTCACCCTGCTTCCAGCACAGCTAGCTTCAGAGGTACATCAGGATGCTCATGGCCTTGTACAGGCAACATGTAAACATCTCCAAAGAGGAAGACCTCCCAGCCTCTCGGGACATCCGTTCCAGTGTTGAATCACTCCTGTGAGAATAAGAGCATTTTTCTTTATAGCCAATCAGAATCTTTTTGATGCAAACGTTGTGACTGGTTCTCTGTGCCCCTCTAAGAGAACTCTTCTCTGTTGTCTTAGTAGCCCCCCAATAACTAGCTAAAGTAATCAGTTAGATCCCCCTGCGGCCTCCTCTTTGCCAGGCTGAACAAACTTACCTCCCTTGGCCTCTCCTTGAGGTCATCTTTCATATGGGGGACTGCAATAGTGGACACAGTGTTCCAGAAGTGGTTTCATGTGTGCCAGATAAAGGGGAACAATCACTTCACCTGCTGGCCACATTCTTGCCGTTGCAGCCCAGTATTTCGTTGGTCTTCACTGCCTCTTCCAGGCTCATGTTCATCTTCCAGTTCACTGGAAGCCCAGGTTCTTTTCTGCAAAGCTGCTTCCAACACAACTAGTCCCCAAACTATTGTACTGATGCAGTTTTTCCCGAAAACGACTGTGCCATATAGATAAAATATTATAGAAGAATATTTTGAAAGGTAGACTTCCTCTAAACTGTGGCCTGGGAAAAAAAGGTGCCATGTTTACATGGTTCTGCCAAGCTGGGTTGATGGAAAGCAGTTCCATTTTAGCAGTGAAAAATCTTGACTTTGTCTCTCTTTTCTACTTATAGAGATCTCTTTAATGATTTCAGTGTAGGTGGCCAAGAATAAATGTAGCAACAGTAATAAAAAAACTGGGACTGAATAATCTCAGTCCTGTCCACTGCTGTGATTCATCTGTACACAGTGGCTTCATCTGAGTCAGTAAGGAATAATGGTTTCTCTGAACTGATGAAAACTCCACTCAGCTATTCAAGAGATGCGTTTAAAGTTCTTGTAATCTGTTTTGCTTTGTCTTTGGTTTAAACTAACCTAAAGACCCAAAGATTTGATTTTATTTAAGAGCAGCAGCAATGCATTCCATTAATTAAATCTTTATAATTTTGCGTATAAGCCAGCCCAATTAATAATCAGCTCCTTTCAACTGCTTCTGTAAAGGAGGGAAAAGCTCTCTAGGAGAGTGTTACAACAGCACCTTTCTCTGAAGGTGGAATTAGATCTTGTTGCTTGATTTACAGAAAAACTGCAAACCCCCTTTTCTTGAGAGGAATTGGACTGCCTGTCACTCATGCAAGGAGGGCAGAAGCAGTGGGGAAGAGGGAAGACCTCCTGCTGGATATAAGGAACTGGGTCCTGCAGAAGAGCAGAGAGGATGATTATGAAATGCTGAAAGAAAACATTGGCTCTATGGACACTCATGACCAGAGGAACCCCAGACTAGGCAAGAAACAGAATGTCAGCCCAGACTGAACCACACATCATCAAGAGGAAGAAATATCTGTTTCCTTATCTCCTAACTCAGGGACAGTACGTTGTCACTGAAAAGATCAGCTCCAAATTAAAGGAAGGGAAACCCCTGTTTCTTCCACACTTGTGATTAGCAGAATCCCCTTAAAGTCTCAGTACTTGGCCCCCAGCGACTGGTCCACAATCTAGAGATCATGTGGATCTCAAGATTTCAAGAAAACAAACCATCACTCCAGTTTTGTTTGAAGACCTAGAACTTGCATACAGCATCAAGAAAACTTTCTAGCCAGCCTGTTTAGAATAGCTGTTGGGGAGGTTCTGCAGCACAAAGGGTAGGTGTAGGAGGTAGCCATGGCTTTACAGCCACTGGTCACTTTGTTGAGCAGTAGTCCTTGTCGAATTACCTGCTTTTTCAGGATCACTGCTCCCTCTACATTCTCTAAAGAGCTCTGTTTTGGTCTTTTCTGGCTATCCATTTTTTGTCTTGGAGCTTACAGAAAAGTTTCTTCCTAACTTAGCAATTTTACTGACTTTTGCTCTGAAACACGGAGACTTAATTCCTATTTTTGCACCTGAGGTAATATAATTGTTGATGTTTTCGTTATTCACCTGAGTCCCCAGGCAGGTTGAATCCTGCTGAGACACTGCATCACAAGAAAACCTTGGGGCAGCAAGTTCTAGTAAATGCAGTGGCAAAAATAGTGGCAAATGTGTGTAGGCTTATCAGTTTCACCTCCTCAACTTTACTGATTATTTCCTCTTGCTGCTTTTTTTGAGGTGTCTTCTTTCCAAGAATACCCCTGTCTCTACTAATAATTTTCCCTTCAATTTCCCATTCCTTCTATTCTCTCTTGATGCCATTGGAATATTTTATGTAATTTTCCAACTTACTTCATACTTAAATATTGCTGGGTTTTTTGATGTAAGCCAAAGCCTTCAAGGAATCTCTGCATTCGTTCCTGGTTTATAGTAAAGTGTAGAAAGAGTTGGAATTTTTCTTGTAGTAAATAGTGCATTACACAACAAACACAAGAGCCATGAGCACTCTTCACCCATAACCAGTATATGTAATTTATTATTATAGGCTCTCTACATCCTTATCTTTTCTAGATCTTTACAACATAAAGAATTTTGGATCACTCCACTTTCCTAGGAATTTTCTGCTCTTCCTGTGATAAGCAAGTTATCATTCTCTCTAAGTCCAAGATCTTAGCTTTGTGTTTTCTTCAAAATATTGTTATACAGAGTATGTTGCCATGGATATCTTTGGTTTTGAATTTGGAAGTTTGATTACATTAACTCTGATTCCATAGGACTGAGCCAGGCATAAAGATTAAAGCAGCCAAAATGTCAGCTCTAATTTTGGAATCTTCATGTCTAATCATTGACCCCCCTTCCATTTGAAACCCATTTCCATATGAACTTTGAGGCAGATCCATTGTGGGGAAGGGAGAAACCAGCCAGTGAACATGTCGTAATCCCATGAATTGGAGTCAGATTATAGAGCAGAAGTTCCAGATCACTCTCTGGTTTTCCTGGTCCATATCTGGACCTAGGTGTTGAACATCAAGATCCAAACACATCTATCTGCAGCTTCTTGGAACACCCAGATCAGGAGGGAGAAAGTTGATATTCTTTGCTATCAATGTCATGGCAAAGAATCCTAGGCAGATCATTTGGGGACAAGAGACTTGGTCGTGGGGAGTATGGAACCTTGGTCATGGATATTAATGTGTGTTGAATGTGTCTTAGTGAAATTGGTTTTGTTTTACATGCAATTCTTCTGGACGCAGTGAGCTTTACTAACTGGTCCTACAGTACTGCAGCCTTATTTCCTGTATGGAACTGATTGCCAGGCACCAGATCAAATTCAGCTGTCTCCCTTCTGTTTCTCTCTCTGTAGATGCCATGCGAAGGCTGCACAATAATAATGTACAATAATAGCACTGATGCAACCGTGGGATTTGTCCTACTCGGCTTCTCTGAGCTGCTCTGCCTGCGCCTCCTCCTCTTCCTTATCTTCCTCATTATCCACTTGGCCACATTGGCAGGGAACCTGATGATCTTCCTGGCAGTGGTCACGGAGCCTTCCCGTCCTCCTATGCTTTTCTTCCTCTGCCAGCTCTCTGCCATCGAGCTCTGCTACACCTTGGTCATTGTGCCCAAGGCGCTGCTGGGCCTGATGCTGGGGGGTGGCAGCACCATTTCCTTCACGGGCTGTGCCGTGCAGATGCACCTCTTCGTGGCGCTCGGCGGGGCCGAATGCTTCCTGCTGCTGGCCATGTCCTACGACCGCTACGTCGCCATCTGCCAGCCCCTCCACTACCCGGTTGTGATGAGCGAGGAGCTGTGCCTGCGGCTGGCCCTGGCCTGCTGGCTGGGAGGCTTTGCTGCTGCCCTCGGGCTGACGGCGGCCGTTTTCCGCTTCCCTTTCTGCCAGTCGCGTCGTATCGACCACTTCTTTTTGCCTGCTGGTTGGTAGGCTTTGCTGCTGCCCTCGGGCTGACGGCGGCCGTTTTCCGCTTCCCTTTCTGCCAGTCGCGTCGTATCGACCACTTCTTTTGTGATGTTCCCGCTGTGCTCCACCTGGCCTGCACGCAGAGCTACAGCCCCGAGCTGGCCCTGCTGGCGGCCTGCGTGCTCCTCCTGCTGCTCCCCTTCCTCCTGATCCTCACCTCGTACCTCTGCATTGCTGCTGCTTTGTTGGGTACCACCTCCTCTGCAGGCAGAGACAAGGGCTTTTCAACCTGCATCTCACAACTGACCATCACCCTGCTGCACTATGGGTGTGCCACCTTCATCTACATCCGTCCTAAGTCCAGTTACTCGCCGGCTCGGGACAAGGTGGTGTCACTGGTCTACACCAACATCACTCCATTACTGTATCCCCTCATTTATAGCCTGAGGAACAAGGAGATCAGAGAGGTCCTCAGGAAAATGTTGAGGAGGAAGAAAGTAGCTCTGCAGAGCTGGGACACAATCAGGCCTGTGATATGTGCGTGTGGTGAATTTTACTAGAACAAACCTGTGCTTTTTGGAAAACAGCCTCATAACCTTGTTAGGACCAGATTGTCTGTGGACTTCGCTAGGGCAAATATCCAGGCAGAATGCAAGATGCATTCATACATTTATGACAAAATCACACAATTGCAGAATGTGTGGGGTTGGAAGGGGCCTTTATAGGTCATCTAGTCCAGTCCACCCTGCAGTGAGCAGGGACCTTTTTAACTAGATCATGTTGCCCAGAGCCTTGTCAAGCCTGACCCTGAATTTCTCCAGGGATGAAGCCTCCTCCACTTCCCTGGGTAACCTGTTCCAGTGCTTCACCGCCAAGAGACACTACCAAAAACCAAAGAACCACCACCACCAAAAGGCACCTCTGCTAAAAAAAACCCAAAACGAACAAACAAAAAAACCCCAAACCAAAAAAAAATCAAAACAACAAAGGTCTCTAACATCACAGTTTGCCTAAAGGGAAATGTTTTAATGACCTGTGAGGAAGAAGAGCTTTGACCAGTTTATGGTCTCACTTCTGTGATCACATACATACTTGTGCTTACATTTGTGGTCATCTCAGCACAATCCAAAGATCAAAACAAAATGACTTAAAGCTGCTGTATTGGTTTAATGATTTTTCTATCAAGTTGAAAGTAGAAACTGGAACCTGGGAAGTCAATAAAAATTTTAGACTGCTATGTTTATCAGCACAAAAAGCCCATGTCTGGAAAGAAATGAAATTAAGTTGTGGTCTTCTCCAAATTTAGCAGAAGGCTGCACTCCAGCATCCCATCACAAGTGGAAAGATCATTAGTGCAAACTCTGCTGACTTTGAATTATTCTAGATAATGAAAATAGAAGTGCCATTGATCTAACAAGAGTATGACTTCTATGTAAACTTTCCTTTATAAGGAGATACTTTAGGTTGTTCCTATGGCGACATAAAGGCTAAGATACTGGTCTTATCATGTGACTTTTATCAGGAAAGATTATCATATAAATAAGGATGCCTAAGGTGTGTTAAAATCTATCATTGCAAGATGTATAGCACCACTGCTGTAGTTGTAATTTCTTCAGCAAGACCAGTGAGATCTACAGCATGGGCTGGACTGCAGCAGACATAAGAGTCTGAAAGGTGAAAAGCAGTGTAGTCTTATGTGTTTCCTACATGTAGGTGGAACAGGATGATTCAGACAAGAGGGAAAAGGGGAAAAGAAACCCAACTTCTTTATTTTATTGAAGATGTCACTCTCCCATGGCTCTTTAAACCCCTCAAGAAGTCCCTGTGATTCAGAACCCACATCTTACATATCAAATTGTTGAGAAAAAATTAAACGGCTTGCTTCTGTTTTTCTGTCTAATCCAAAAGAAATTCAGCACTCCAGATGCCCTCAGCTCTCTCCCTTGGCAGGATGAGAGAGCAGAGTGATATTTGCTTTCTCTGGGCTACAATCATTAAAAATTATGGTAGGTGGATTTGACTAATGTAAAAAAATTGGCACTGTAACTAAGGAAATTAACTTGGAGCCATCTGACAAAAGAGAAACGTGGAATTAAAAACTCACATTAAAAGCTGTCTTCAAGTTGACAGTCTAGCCAGGCTAAAGCATTAACACAGAATATTGGCTTTCATGTCAATGAATAACTAATTACTGCTGTGAGCAAAGGTTTACCTGCATTATTTAAGATGATCAAAGTTGTAGTGAACATTTTAATTACCTGCCAGGTCTTACAAAAATGAGAATGGGGGGTGGGGGGGGCTCAGTAAAAGCACATTACTTGCTAATAAAGAAGTACTTTAGAGAAATACTTTGAATCAAATACTATTAAAAGATTTAAAGGTACTAAATAACTGTAATGAGCACAGGACAAAACTGAAGCATCCATTCCAAATCCTGTCAAGTCAAATCAAACTTTGAAGTTAATCCTGCTGCAAGCAGTGGGCTGGACTAGAGACCTCCAGAGGTCCGTTCTGAGGTTAGTAGGATTCTGTAGCTGGGGTTTGTAGTGGTACTGATATGCTCAAATACCTGGCAATAAAAACTAAGGGACAGTAAGACACTGAGGTTTATAATACTGATCAAAACCTTGGTAGAGGAGCTCGTGTTTCTGGCAGTTGCAGGCATGGGATAGCAGAGATACAACTATCATCTGCTGCTAGCTGTGAGAGGATGGCAGGGCTGTGTCCTCAAGTACAGAGGTTCCTCGTGAACAACTGCTGATTGAGAGGGCACCTCAGCAGTCCTGTCCTCACTGCAAGGAGTTGGATGATGTCTCCAGGACAGATGACATGACAGAAACAGCAGCCAGGCTAGACTCCCAGGTCTTTAGTTTCGAGATACATGTGGGAAGCACAACAAGCAACGAAGGCTTTCTGCAAAGATGATCTCTCCACCCAGTGTTTTTTGCAGAAGAATGTAGTGAAGAAGATAACCCAGCAACTAAGACTATTCTCCATCCTATCGCCACCATTATTCCCACACACCTTCAGAGCACCCATGGCTCCCCTCCTATGCCCAGCTATGTTGAGTGTAGGGATTTACTGCATAGAGCTGTAGAGAGGATGCAGGGATGGGAGTGGGAACAAGGAAGCTTATTATGTTAGAACAGCAACAATAGTATCTTTCAATTACCAGGAGCTGCCTGAGGTCCCTTTTCCACTCACCTTTACCCCGCTTGACAAGTGGCTGTTTCAGTCCTGTTGACCCAGGACACTGCATGTTAAGTGGAGTAAGACAGCAACACACTTCATGCATGGCAATTGTTAAGTCTTTCCCAGAACTTCACAGGGAACAGCAGGATCCAGTTAGGCAGTGCAGAGTTAGACAACTGCATATTCAACCTCCTGCCAAAGATGGGTAGGACATCATAACTAATCATACCCATCAAAGATGGGTAGGGCATCCATGGGCATCATGACTGTCTGGCTTGGGTAAGGTCTCAAGATACCCTAGGGTATGAATAAGGCTGGGGACCTGCATTCCACCACAAATGGTCCTGTCCTTCCTTGGAAAGAGAATCCCCAAATTTGTAGAGGTCTGAAATCTGTCAAACACAGATGTTTCCAATGAAACCAGTAAGCCACCTCTAATAATCTCTTCATGCTTTGCACAGCCACAAAAACAGAGTAGCCATCCTTGCAATTAATTTTGTAAAGTCTGTCCTGAGCAAGGCACTGGATGAGAACACAGATCTCATCAGTGGTTGAGCACCAGAGCTCCACCTGTAAGGCCTAGAAGAACTCATCAGTTTTGTCCATGTGCTCATAAATGAGCAGGTTTGGAGGATGCTGTCAGAGATGTTGAGTAACATTCAGGGTACTTAAGTACCTTCAATGGTACACACCATTCAAAGATGTACCTTCACTCAAGGAAGTACTTCAGAATGGTTTATTGAGTGCCACCTGCCAATACCACTGACATGTGGTATTTTTACATGTTGTCATGTTTTGCTGGCAATCCAGGTAAGACATTTCCTAAAAATTGTTCCCATAAAACAACCAATATCCTAAAATACTTAAATGCATTTGCATTTAAAAAAAAAAATATTTCCTTACGAGTGCCACCTGCCAATACCACTGACATGTGGTATTTTTACATGTTGTCATGTTTTGCTGGCAATCCAGGTAAGACATTTCCTAAAAATTGTTCCCATAAAACAACCAATATCCTAAAATACTTAAATGCATTTGCATTTAAAAAAAAAAATATTTCCTTACTTTTCTAAGAGTCTAAATGGAAAAAAAAAAAATAGTAAGGGGGATTAAACCTGGAAAGTAGACTCTAATATCTTGAGGGTGAAAAGCTGTCAAAAACAGTAATTTGCTCTATAGAGAAAAAGCCCCTGTTTTGCATATGTTTATTATTCAACATGGAAAAGACAATAGCTATATTGACTTTACCATGATAGAAACTACAACACTGTGAGTTTCACTTTAAGACATTTATAGATAGAAGATGTACAGAAGAAGGGAGATAAGTCCTTCCTGAGATTGGTTTGTGCCAATATATGAAATTTCTTACCAGCATGTAAAATCTGATAGGATCCTATATGATACCCACACAAAAAAAAAAGTCCACACCCCTAGAAATGAGCTAATAGGGAGTAAATATGCTAAAATATTTTGCCCTACCACCCCAGAATAATACATTTCTAGACTCTAAAAGCTTTTTCTTTTCCAGCTGGGCTGTTATGCAGGCACTAAGTCCCAGGAACACAGGGCAAGAAATAAGCAGGAGACCAAAGTGGAGTTGAGGAATGAGGTAAAGCTCCATGTCAGCTCCTTAGTTTCAGAGTCAGTTTCACCTTGCTCTGTCATCATCTCCACTTCAAAAAGCTGACTGAAGGAGCTATTAATAATTCCAGCATTGTATTCCTAACCTAAAGCTCTTGGATCTAAACATCCTGCTGTGCTCAGTTATCTTCTAGACAAGCCCAGGAAAAAGCAAGAACAGGAAGGTCAGTAGCCACACAGTGTGTACCCTTGGCTGTACCTGCATGAGTGCAAAGATTTGATACAGTCTGGTCTTACAAATTGGTACGTCAAGATATAAGAACACCTGGTTCTACAAATAGGCATGTAAAGCTGAGGGATGACCAGATGGCTCAGCAGCATATGGCCTCTAGCTTAGTCACTGCTGAAAATCAGGTGTCCTAAAATCTGTGTCAAATTTTATTGTCTGGTCTACAGTTGCTCTGAGTATTCGTTTCACTTGTCATGTTTGGATTTAATTAAGAGTTCAGGTTTCAAAAATCAACTGGGAACCTGAACTGGGAATAAAGATGACAGTGAGCTGGGAAGAGGTTACCACAATCAGTGTGCCCCCAGCATAAGAAGGATGTGGAGCTCCTGGAGTGAGTCCAGAGGAGGGCCACGGATATTCTCAGGGAGCTTCAGCACCTCTGCTATGAAGACAGGTTGAGAGAGTTGGGGCTGTTGAGCCTGGTGAAGAGAAGGCTCCAGGGAGACCTCATAGCAGCCTCCCAGTGCCTGAGGGGGCTGCAGGAAAGCTGGGGAGAGA